AAAAGTTAAATCTTTAAACAAAATTTAAAACACTGACTGCTATATTTTCTTTCTCTGACTCCATAATTATTCTCGCTTTCTCGATAGGGTATAATAAAAAAAAAGAAAAGGTACAACCTTAATCGTCCATTAGTTGGCAACTATACACAAAGGATATGTTCTGCTTCCTCTCAACCTCCAAGCATTTCGTTAAATTAGTTATTAGGGGTCCATTTTTTTAGATCATAAGGGATTATTGGCTGCATTTACGACAGCATAAGACTTCTTAGTTAACTTCGAGTCAAATAAACATAATTAATGATCTTTGATTGTCCCCGGTAAAAGAAGGTCTAAAAATAATTATTTATCTGAAAATATAGACAAAAAAATGCCTTTTTTCTTTGGCTTACCTCTATATAGAGACCACTTCACAAAATCACGTCCTAACAGTTGGATGTTTGTTAAGAGAAAGAGAGACAGACGCTATCATTTCCCGGTTTGAATTGGGGCGTGATTGACAAGTTAATAATCATTCTTATCTATGGTATAGGTTCAGAATTACAGTAGAAATCTTGAGTCGGCTAGAAGTACCCGGCAGATAGATAAGGTTAACAGTTTTATTTAAAAAAAATAATCGAATTTAAAATGAATTTCCTAAAACTTCTGAAAACGGTTACAAATGAATAAAAAATACAAATAAGATATCAGTTAATCAAAAATTTAATAAAGATTTAGCTAGATTAATTATAGAGAATACAGATATTAAACACAAACTTATTGAAAAATCATGGAACTAGAAGAGGACACTGCTAAAAGAAGATTAGGATCTTTTGCTCATCACTTTTACTCTTGTCGTCAGAGACGAAAATGCCACTGAACTTCAAAAAAGTATCCGAACAAGATAAATTCTGCCAAGAATGTTAATTTGGGGATCTCAAAAAAGATGCAAAAAAGTTTACTACTTTTACTCCTGCACTTCCACCTAAACCCACCCCCTTGTAGGGAGGTAAAAACGAAAAAAAAAAAAACGATTTACCAAGAATTTGAACGAGGTAGAAAAAAATGTTTAAATACAACACATAGCTATCAAGAGTACACGTAAATATCAAGGGATAATTTTAAACAAAAATGTGTATAATCCCTTTTTGTGTAGAATGAACTGTTCTTTCACAAACAACGCTTAAAGCCACATTTGATTTTGAATGTCAGTTACGCGCGTGAAATCAATATTCAATAAAATTTGTATCAGCTCGACGGTAAAAAACTTGATATCTTTTAATTTGAGTGTTCTATCGATAAAAATCAAGATGATTTCTAAAGGTAACGAGGTCAGCTTTCGTATGCAATTTTTGTATTTTGCCATAAGTCAATTCAGACTTAAGATCAGTATAATATATTCCTTTCATTGACTGGCCACTATGAAGTTTCGATTACTAGAGCAATTGATTATAAACATAAAGTTTTAAAACATCACTAATTAGATCAATACTTTAAAACAAAGTAAATAAGTGTATTTGAATGTTAATTCTTTTCAAACCAAGATTGTAAAATTAAAATTTTAGGAAAATAGAATATTTATTATTCTTGTTCTCAAGAAGTATTTTCATTATTGACAATATCAAAACATTTTATTATTAAAAATCGAGAAGAATTTTCTGAGGAAACGAACGTACATAATTAATAAAAATGAAGGTTCTTGAGAAGAATTAATATTTTTTTAACAAACAAAAGATATAGGTAGAAAAAAAAAGGTTTTCATATTTATTTTAAGTACAATTTGTGACGTTTCTGGATTGTTTACTGTTGTGGCTGTCAGTCTGTTGAATTTTTTACGCAAATATAAAAATATTTCTAAAGTTGAATACTCACCTAAATCAGTTGCTAACTGTGTAAATTTTAGAGAAAAAGCATTTTTCCTTAATAACTTTCTTTGGCCACTTTGGTAAATATGTTCCACTGCAAAATGATGCTGACAAATTACCCTCTGTTTTAGGTCACTGATATCCATCAATATAATCTCAATATTCCCGCGTTTTTTTGCCAAATTTTTGTGCGCTCTTCGCTTTTCAGGGAAATTTAAAGAAAGATATATTATTATTTGTTCCATCGTTTCTTTCAAAACATCCCGCGTAAACACATTTATGCGTTACACATGCCATTTTATCTAAAATGTGAGTCCTTTTTTTTAATAAAATTTCACTATAACTTGTCACAATACTAGACACAGATATTACACTTACAGGGTAAGTTCGGCCCTGATACCACTCCTATCTCTTCGCAAGTCAGAGAGAGAATGAGAATCTCGATACGGTTTTCGAGTAACGCCATCTAGTTTTTGATACGTCTTTCGGTTACCACGAGGTGAGCTATCTAGGTAGTGGTTTATAATCAATGCTAGAGCCTTACCTTTGAAACATAAAGCATGAAATTTTAGTTTTGAGTTTCGGTTACAAATGTGATACATTTGAAATATGCTTAAAAAACACTAAATTTAAACTTTCAAATAACACACGATCTAAAACATTTAAAACTTTTTTTTTTTCAATTACACTAATACGTTTTTCAATGAAACAAACTTCTGCTATTAACTACACCGAAAACAGTCTTCTTGGGTGCACTTCCCGTGACGTGTGATCGTTTGTAATGTAAATCATTAAATTCTGCGTTTTTTATTCATATTTTAAATGTCTCATCTTTTTTGCCTCAACTCAAAATTGAAATTTTGTGTCATAGGTTTTAACGATTAATCACCAAAAATGGAAATTTTACATCGATTGGTCAATGAAAGTAATCAATTTTATTCATCTCACGAGAATTGGTAAAAAATAGCCAAAATCTCGCCTTATTTATTTACTTAAAACCTTTAGAAAAACTGAGTTTATTCTCGGCAAAATACACAAACTCCATACGAAAGCTGCACTCTGCCTTCTTGAAGGCAGAAAACGCATCTTGAAATTTGTCGGTATATAATTTTTGCCGTCGAGCTAATACAAATTTTATTGAACATTCGCACGCATAACTGACATTCAAATTGACGGTTGCTTCAAGCGTTGTTTCTAAGAGAACGGTTCCTTCTACACAAAAAGTGTTGTTTAAAATTATCTTAGCTACATTTTTTATTTAACCCTTTAAGTGGCAAAACTGCTTTCCTTGGTTTTTTAATTACAGCTTTTTAGTGCAAATTCAATGTGACCCTAAATTTACGAGAAAAATTATTTAAAAAATTAACGGTAAAAATGACTGGTAAATATAGCTACCAGGGTCTCTTTAGGATGGCAACAAAGTTCCGAAGGATCACTGGTAAATATAGATACCATTATATCTTTCTTATGTGTTATTTTAAAAAGTGAAATATACAAGTACATAAACTAATTTATTGCCTAACAATAATTAGAGAAATCAAAATATTAATTTTTGTGGTATGGTTCAAAGCAAGTTTTGCATAAAGCAACATTACATTTTTTACAAATTATATTTGACCTAGTTTGTTCTTTTATTTTTGCTATACCCTGTACATCTTCGGTACGCTTCCTTTACGCCAAGGTGTCCTATATTGTCAAGTTGGTTCGAATTTCTCTGGGGTCCTGTGAAGACCAGATAAGAAACCAGACAAGAGAATCTGCCAGACCATTTCTGAACTACAAATGAGACATGGGCTTCTGATTATTTTTCTTATTTCTCATATCTTCTATATGCTATGTAACTATTCACAATTGCCGCATCAATCAGGTAATATAAAATTTTCATCCTACCACCTCCAGGACTTCCAAGTTATTATATACGTGAAATGTAATTGATCAAAGTGTAATTGACCAAATATCTGTTGTAGTCAGCTATGGCCATAGGACAAGGAACTTTTCCGATTGGCCTCTTTTCTTGGTACCTGATACTTTTTCATATCTTGAATATTGTGTATGTTACTGGCAACTGTCACACATTTCACAGCCCTATCTTTTCACTTGCATACGGAAATATTTTCTGAAGGCACAGCATCCGATTGACTCATTTTTAAATTTTTGTCGGAGCATAAGTTCTTAGGAAATTGTTTTCTAGTTTGCCGGATTGTACCACAAGCAAATAGTTTCTTCGTAATAAGTTTCTCTAAATAGCGGAATTGTCGAAAAAAAGTTATCAAAGAACAGGCAATAACCTGTTTCCGCAAATGGTTTGTCTCGAATTTGGTATGACACTTTCTTCCAACATATCACCAGTATCACTCTTTTTTTGCCCTCGTAGAGCTCGAAATCTAATAAATAACCAGTTTCGGGACAAGCAACTGCCCATACCTTGAAGCCTCTTTTGATAGGCTTTCATAGGCATATATTGCTGTAGTATAGCGATCATACCTTCATTACTTTCTCTAGAAGCGATGCCTAGATGGTATAAAAGCAGACAAAAATTTAACTTTTAGGTTGTTTATAAGAGGCCTAATTTTAAAATGTTTGTCAAAATCCAAACTTTCAGGTGGAGGCATTTTCGAGTTGTCGTTTATATGTAAATATGCAAGAAAAAAGCGTTTCACCGTGAAGATATCAGTGATTCGGTTTACTCAAAAATTAATGTCGTTAGACTAATACGATTTTAATGTAGGTAAAGAATGGAACCCGATTATTATAAGAACTCCTACAAAAGCATCAAATTCTGCGCTATCTAGCTCAACGAAACATTTCTTGTTCGGCATATAAATTGGATTGTACGATAATTTAATCACACAAATCCTTATCAAAAAAAGGTTAAGGAATGTCCTAGGAGAAGTAGCGTCTATGTCACCAAAATTATTAGGTTTTCTAATACTTTCGTTGAACTCATAATTCTCAAAACTTAAGGGAGCTGTGAACATTTTTGACCATATAAATTCCAATGAATATGTATTATTTACTATTTCTTCATCTTAACTCATGTGATCTTGAACATTATTAGTTGATCCCGATGAATTATTGTTTATTATTCCTTCATCTTCGCTACTCGGTGCGGATGAGGAACTGTATGTAAATGTAAACATATTTTTTTAACCTTTTTAGGATTGCTAGGGAAGAATGAAGGGCCATCATCAGAATGATCAAAAGTGCTTTTAACTTCTATTTATAAGCCTTCTGCTTCTTCTATGTCTTCTGTTGGTTCATTTCCCAAATAAATAACGTTACTTGATCTTGAAGCAGAAGAACCGCCCAGCACCAGAGTATCCTTGGCATCGGAATCTCCTTCATAGTCCGAGTAATAGAACCCACTATTTACCAGAAGAATCCAGTAACCGTTGCATTTCTGCTTCGTTGAGACGTTTTTTAGCTATTGTTCTGTGACAAAAACGTTTCTGTAAGTTTTTCAAATAAATATGGACCATGGATACCCCTAACTCACAATAATGTTGCATGGAAATAATTGGGATACCCTGTATGAGCTGAAAACAAATCTGTGGACATAACTATATATAAGCAATGGGATTAATTTTAAAACTCACTTATTGCTTATCAGATTTGCAAGATATAATGCTGATACCTGGTTACTTACCAGACTAATTTACACTTTTTTAACCTCTAATAGGTAAATATGATAGACGGAAATGTGCACTGGTAGCTATACTTACCGACTGAATCATTCATCTGATTATCGCGCGCATTTCTTGTTGATGCGGTCTGCATTGTTGCCAGATTTACTCGAGATCAAGCGAAATGTGAAACGCTCAATTTCACGTGACTGTCGTTCCAAAATAAACTTTAAACTTGTATGGTAGCTATCGCTATAATACCACTTAAAGGGTTAAAACATTATTTTCTACGGAGTACAGATTCTTGGTAAATCGATTTTTTTGCGTGTTTACCGCCCTACGAGGTGGATTTTAGGGGGAAGCTTGGGGTAGAAATGATAAACATTTTTGCATCTTTTTGGGGTCCCAAAACTAATATTTTTTGTAAAATTCAGCTTGTTTGTATGATTTTAGGGGTCAACTCTCTGACGACTGGCTTATTTTATATTTATATAGTATAATTTTAGTCATTTTTACATTAGTGTGGTATCCTCTACACGTTAACAACATCGCACTAATTAATGATGTTTAAATAAACCCTACTATAAACTTAATACTTTATAATATATATATATATATATCTATATAATATATATATATATATATATATATATATATAATATATATATATATTGTTGTTTATGTTGTGTTTGCTCTCATATTACAACTCCTCGGTATAAAGTAACAATCTAAAGTGTTGTGTAGAAATGCCACGCCCTCTGCTGCGTTTAAACTCCCAAAAAACTTCTGTGATAGTTTACGAGTTTGTCGCAAATACGCCGAAGGACTTTTGAGAGACCTCCACAGAGGGAGTTTTGCGGCACCTCCGAGATCTGAAGACTACCCTTGGGGAGTAGAGCATGTGACGGGGGTTTAGTGGACAGCGGCAAAGACGAGGAATTGTGTGAGGGTGTGAGGAATACATATTTTGTACCGAGCGATATTAATCGCCCCTATTCAGAAAATTTAAGTTTGTTTTATGTTATATAAATTATGCTCGAAAAGTTGTAGCGTCTAAAACGACAGTTGTGCTATTAATTTGTTAAATTTTAATTTATGCTCAATATACTCCTTTTCTCCTCATTATTTGTTTCGGATGTTGGCGATTTTCATGGAAACTTCTTTCCTACTGAGGCCTGTACGAAATAGATTTGTCGTCTATCTATTGAATCCTATACATAGATTTTTAAGCTCCTTAAGATAACATTTTACATCTTTTCAAGCCCTCGTGTGTCATCTATTTTTCTTAGTAAAAAGGTTAAAGAAATAATATGAGACTTACTTTCAATTTATTGTATCTTGACGATTGGTTTTGAACACTAGAGCATCGTCAGACCTCCAGAAAGGTTACTTAAACGATAAAAATTACAAATAATTATAACTGTTAGAGTTCTATAAGGTATAATATAATTATGTTAACATTAGGTATACATAGTTTGAAAACGTATATAAACTGTACTTATATGGGGACACTATAATTGCATATATATAGGGCATAACAAAATGATAGGCTGCTGTCTGAAGGGTCGTCAGCTGTATTATACATCGAAACTTGTTTGATGTATCTTGAGTAGAGAGTTAGAAATCAAACTTCGAAACCAGCTGTCCAAGGGACAATAAACTGATTGTGGAGTAAGTCGAATATTTTTTTTAGTCTTGTTGAAATATACTTGCATTTGTAACCGATTATATTATTTAACCGATTATTATTTAAAGCAGCAGATATCTTCGAATATTTCTCATGATGTGTTCGAGATATGTATTGCTTTTATTCTTATCAATAAATAGTTTTCTTTATTTATTGTTATCAGCACATCATATTTTTTTACAAAATTAACTCATGATCGTAATGGGATATTTGTTCGAAGATACGAGAGTGTATTTACCTTTCAAAACGTTGGATTCAAAAATATATTTCTCTAATTTGGTTTTTGTTTTTGGGAGATAATCATATATTTTGTTTTTTTTGAGTATTTAAAAGCTCTTCAGAACTTTCAGTAAACATAACATATAGTAATCATATCTTATCCTTTATATTCTCTCTCTCTCTCTTTCTCTCTCTTGACATTTCTGTTACAGGTATTGCAGTATTATCCTTGTCTTATCTTGTTCTTTATTGATATTATCTGTTCCTTTTTCACACATAGGTATTAATTAGGTTTCTATTCCACCTTATTATAATACTTTGGTCACAAGGATTTAACCTATTGTCTTGTAGTATTTTCATTATCTTTTATCCTTAATTATTAAGCATTCGTTAATGACCATATTTACATATCGATCTTTGAAAGATTATCCGATTATGTAGACCGAACAATGCTTTATATATATATAATATATATATATATATATATATTATATATATTATATTGTTATGATATGTAAAATCGAGACAAATATTGGTTTGCAATATTTCAAAGTTTAAAAAATTATAATAATTCAGATAAGTCGAATAATAAACTACAAACATTTCGAAGAATGAAAGTCCTTTATCTTTGGATTACCTATGTTGAACAAAACTTAAGATATACATAAATTATTTTCTTTGTTAAAATATATTTGAGTGACGTGAATGGGCTTAAATGAAATCCTAGACAATGGAAGCGGGTTTTCCAAATAAATGTGTGCAGTAATTAGGACAATATAATAGATTTTAGAAAGATATGTTTTTGTTAGTTCATAAGAATTGGTAGAAAAAGATTAGTTTGTAAATAAGTTTTAGGAAATTTTATAATTGTAGGTAAAAATTTGTTTGTGTTATCGAAATGAAGAAATGGGAGATGCATGACGCGTTTTGATTGGATGAGAGTGAAAAAAGGTGGGATGGTTGGTTTGAGAATGAGACTTTAGTTAGTTTTGAAGAAAAAAAGTATAGTTAGTTGATTTCCAAGGTGCAAGGCGAACGGCCGTTGTTGTCGGGTAGTTTCCCAGAGGTAGGAAGCAGTAGCAGTGAAAGTTTGTGAGTTTTCGTGTAGTTGTGTATCTGACAGAAGCTGATCCAGTAAAAGATTGTAAGTTCATATTTTTCTACTTATATTCCAAGAGTCACTGTTCAGGCCAACGAGAGATTCAGTTTATCGTAAAGAGAAGATATTCCAAGAGTCATTTTTTACTCAGGCCAACGAGAGATTCAGTTTATCGAGAGGAGAAGAGTAGCATAATTTGAACGATTCGTGCATTTGAAGGAGATCATTAAGGACGATAAACTTGCAACAATTTGTTGTAAGATTGCTGATTAACTAGGGAGCTGCTAAGAATAGATAGTGTAGGCTACAAGGAACAAGGGTTTGGACCACTCATCATCATAGAGAGATAGTTTTGTTTTTCTGCAGTTTTTCTTTTATTGATAACACAATTTTTACAATTACTTTAGAAAAGATATAAATATTTTGATTAGGAGATTTAGAATAATAATTGGGATTTTGAGATTTTAACTAATATTGTTTTGTACCATTAATTTTGAAGGTTCACGTACGTAGAACAAAATTTTGAGAATCATTATATGAGATATTGTTTATTGAAAACATTTGAGTGTGAATTTTATTTATTATTGTTATTTCAATATATAATGTTATATCATATATGTTTTTTATTATTCCGGTATTCTTTGGATCTTACCTTTCACATGTAAAGCATAGATATTGAAGCACGAATATAACCCTGAGATAAGAGAATTAAAAAGTGTGATAGAATCATAATCATATCAGTTAAAATAATTTAATTAATTAATTAATTAATTAATTGGACTGAGGAGGAGGGATACACGAATACATGATGAAGAATATACATAATATGAGGGGTCAACAGTATCGGAATTTTTTACAAATATAGAAGTTTTCGTAGATACGGTTGTGAATTCGCCGGTTTGTCTGTCCTAGGTATGTAAGTAGGCAACTGGAACAAGGTATCTCATAGACACCATGGTCTTCGTTGGGTTTTGGTCTTTTACGAATCTGGCGAGATTGGACAACTTGGAGTAAGCAGTGAAGATTGTTTTGGAGGTTCAGAGTTCTACTGATCTTGTCAGTGATACTATTTATAAAAGGTACAACGATTTTGGGTTAATCAGGAGGTAAAATTTCTTTTTTTTAATGCTCCTATTGGTGTGGGTTTTGTAGTAGCCGTTTTGTAAGAGTGTTAGCCTTATTAAATTGATTTTGGATGATCTGTGATTGTCGTCGCTAATATGATGGAACTGGTAACAAAATGTTGATAACTGAATTGAGTTGAGCAAAGTGATTGTGATCGGGCGGTTTGTATGGGTGGGTTTCCAGTACACGGAATAAAAAATACTGTGATGTGGGTGTTTCTAAATAACAACATCAAGGAATTGCAAACAAAGGCCCTTTAGACTCAACTTCCATTGTAAATTAAATACTGGGATGTATTCCATTGAGGTTGGAGAAGAAGAGATCTAATGGGTCTTTACATAGGGTCAAATGACAAAGGTGTCGTCACTGTACCGTAACCAGCAGGTGGATTTGGCATTTGATGCAAATACGACTGTTGTTTTTTTGTTTTTTTGACCCCAAAAA